CCTATTTCCTAGGTGTGGGCGGCCACTTGTGATAATTTGTCACCTCGTGCAGCGCGCTCATATATTTGTATGCGCTATTTAATCATGCGTTTAGTCTGGTCTGTGCAAGTAGAATAGCAGTTTTGATGTGTCCACCCGGCTTGTGGTGTTCCAGACAGTAACTCTATCATGGGTCATTGGAGAAGCTCGAGTTCGGTGATTGTGGAGGGTGATGAACAAGCAAACCCTATTGAATTCAGGTGTAGTCTGCGGCCTCCTGGACGGTCAAATCTCACCGGAGTAGGGAGGCGGATTTCTTTCCGAGAAACCATTAACCAACTCGCAGTCACCATTAGCTCTGACGGCTAATGCGTTACTCCTGACCGAAGCGATCACCAGCATTGGAGCAGAGGCTTCAGTCAATATTAAACCAGACAAATAGCATTGCCGGCAAAGGCAAGGGAGACTGGAATGGCCATTTCTGGCTTATTAGCCGTCTTCAGCCAGTCATACCCAGCCCCAAGTGGTGCCATTCCAGTCTCTCTTGTCTTTGCTGGCAATAATATCTGCTTGATTTACTATTGTATGAAGCGTCTGCCCCATTGCTGGTGATCTCCTCGGCCGAGGCCCAAGGCAGAGTGGGCCAGAGTAGTTCCCTTAGCGGTCGGTGAACTTTCATCAAGAAGTGTCAATATGAAACCAGTTTGCAGAACAGTACAGATATTTGAAGGATGACGTTCTGGCGGGAAGGTTTACAGTTCCAGGTTTACAAGATTCCTTATGCAGTGACAACTCGGACCAGTAGATAGAGGAACGGTCGTGGAATTTTGTGAGAGGGTATTTGTCTCTTAAGCGGACACTTTTACCTATCGTATAGAAGGTATTTGGTTGAAGATCGGAGGGTGCGTTTCTGGACTGCGGCTGCTATCCGTGTGGATCAGAAGTAAGTGGTTACCTGGCCAAAGCCACGTGCATATGTGTGTGAATGTCCTTGTGCAGAGTTATAGGTGGTCAGGGAGTTTGATTGCGCCAAGGTGCGCGCGGAAGGCGAATGACAGACGGCAAGGCGTCATATGAGGCTGGTTGGGCGGAAGGCCGGTTGTCGGCGAAGCGTTCCACAGCTGCACGCACTCGAACAGGTGGCCTAGTTTGCAGTGACTGATGCTGCCCTGCGTGTTACTTCACCTTCTCTGTTTACCGGCCCTCGTCTCCTTTCTTGTCTCAGGTACCCGATCTGACCCTGACGC